ATGGCTCTGATGGTGTTGACATATTGCCTTTCCAAATGGATACTTCTAGCCTATTTAGTCTTTCATTGAACAAAAACTGCTCCGTATTTTTAGAGATCCTTCTCACCCTATGCATTGTTTCTCACTGTGGTTCCCAAGAAGGGATAACGTGGCATTGTCATTGCCTGTGTCACATGTGACGTGATAGTGAACAGAAACATCCAGTGCAGTGGGATGAGTCAGATTCTTATGGCCCCGGCGTTGTTTGCTCGTCAACACTTATTTAAGTAGGAAATATCTTCCTTTCAGGTTAAAAAGTAACATGTTCCAGAACTTGCTTGGTTTTATTTCTAAAGATAGTGAGAAACTTGAGTTGTAACAGTGGCTTTGTTCGGTGTCGGCTTCTTACTTCGGCATCTTTTCTTCCATTATTTAAATGCTGCTGAGTTAGACTTGAGTCCACAGCATACATACCAGCCCACGTCATTACTGCTTTCATGTGAAGAGAATGCACCTTGACACTTTGTCCCATGGCATCAATAAGCAACAGATCTTCCTACAAAGTCACAGCTGTTTGAAATACACACAAGAGAAGTGGGCACAAACTAATGGATGATGCACAGTAATTTTGCCAGCAGATAAATTTCTTTATCGGCTTTTTATTATGACAAATAACAAACTGCTTACTCTCTAGGTTTCTTTTTTTTTTTTTTTTTGTAAGTCAAGTCTGTAAACTATTAACGACCTACTGCTTTTTACTTTTTTGGAGTTGTTGTGTGTGAGTCCTAGGCTTTTAAGCCTTCAGACTTCCAAAACAAGTGCTTCAAAAAATGTATTCCTCACAGAAATGGCTTAGCATTTATTTTATTTTCGCTTACAAAAGCAGCATACCTACAGATTTTTCCATAAAGAATGTTTCATGATGCTCCCTTGATGTAATTTCCTACCACTCCTCTTCATAGCCTGCTTTCCAAAACAGTTCTTCCTTTCTTCATGAATCCTTTTGGCCTCTGTATGCATTTGTGTAATGTCTATTTACCTTTGCATCCTTAAACGCATTATTTCTGTTGTATCTTTTCCCGCAGTGTTCAGAACTAACCAGTCTACAGATGCTCCACCAAAGCTGTTTCATTCTTGCTATCCAAATGCAGGTCCTAGTTAACCTCACGAGATTTCTTCTGCTGATTGCAATGGAGGCACTGCTGCTTCCTGACATAAGGGGGCGCAAACAAACCAGTACGAATCAAGAGGTTCAGCAAAAGCAACTAGATGCAAATAGTTCACCTCTCTGCTTCCTTGAGTCCCACAGGTCGTTAGGCCCACAGGTCTCTTCCTCTAAGCCACTGACTGAGATTTGAAGAGAGTGAAGAATTTTCATCTGAGGACAGAATTTAAATCATCAAGTAGTTAATTACATGACGGCTACCACTCTAAGACACTGCATTCACAAAGCGAGTCTTCATACATGCACATAACACGAAACAAATTGAAATAGAAAAAATTAACGACATACAAATCAATATTGCATCTATTTTTTGCTGAATGAAATGATTAATTAAGGATATTGGGGAGGTGAATTTATTCTAGGCTGACAAGGCAGGTGTGTGCACCTGTGTAGTGGTGAGGGTGAAGCAACCACGCTGCTGGGACCTGAAAGCTAGAGCTGCGCCAGGCAGCATTAACGGCAGACATTCAAGTGCTCTTAGTTTCCTCAGTAAGTGTATAACAAGGAGGCATCAACAGGGACAATTTTGCTCATTATTCTAAATTTCTCCTTTAGTTTCATAGCAACAATAAGCAGAAGCAATTCCGTTAAAGCAAAGTCAAATTTATTTATTATAACGGAGTCCAATGAACAGAAGCCTCCAGAGTTCTACAGCGGTGTAATAAGCACACCTCTTGCTACTTTTCCATGTTTTTTGGTAATGAAGTGGCATTACTGGCTTTGGAGGCACTTCACAGCAGCCTGTCATGGCACTCCTTACCCAGTGTTGATCTCACTTTCCAGGATTTTAATGGAATGGCATTTTGGGCTTCTGGCTGAGACATATTCTAGTTCCAGCCACAATAACAGAAGTCCTTAACCACCAGAAATTAAGGAACTGAAAGTAAAGTCATTCAGATTCCTCCCTCCAGTCAGCAGTCGTTATTGTTGGTGTTAGGGCAAAGCTGTGCTGCACAAAAGAAAGCGATCCAGCTGGCAAAGCTGCCTCAGGCTCCTGTCCATTTTCCTTCTCACAAAGGAAGAGACAAAGGTCAGTTCCTTTTGGTTCTCTCCATGCCTGGGCAATCTGCAGATGTAGGGAATCAAAAATGAATTCAAAGCCATCATTCCCGCTTGTGATCAAATGTGGGACTCAAATACTTCATCTCTCATCATTCATGTATCCTGCTGTATTGAAGGCACCAGTATTTCAAGATTTTTTTTCGGCTCCTGAAAGCAGATCAACCAATCAACCAAATTATCTAGAGAATGCCATGAAATAAGTACCTTAATAGACGGCAATTTTCTATGTTATAAACACAAAAACCAAACAGTCAATAACAATTCTCAGATTTGCTTTTTTACACCACGGTTCTGGAATGTCCAGAATCCCCCCAGAAAAGGGATCTTCAAGCAGTCAGCAGTCTGTTTTCATCTGCTTGTTACAAAACTGAGTTGTGAATTCCCCTCCTCTGGTGTTGCTTTAACATTACACCATTTATAATCCTTTTGATTTTCTTTAGAAACATTAGTACTGTTCAGGCTGATTAACGCACAATTTTGTCTGTATGTTTCAGATAGTAACAGCCTTGCTGAGTCTTGTAAAACTAAATTTAATACAGAAGGCTTCAGATCTTGTTTCCAGAAACTCTCTGGGATCCTCTGCTTGGAAAAAAAAAATAATTAAATTTTTTAGTTCATGGAATAAAAAGTCACTTTTGTCATGCTGCTGCTAGGGTTGCATATCATTAGTTATGTCTCAAAAGTCAGAGTTTTGGGGGCAGAATACTTGAGTAAATTAGTGCTTCATTGCTTTCAAAACTATGAAGACAGGAATCAGAATTTTAATGCTTATTAATACCTCCAGAATCCTTGCAGTAAACCCCAGAGCTAATGGCAAGAGAAAAGATGGACGTTAAAACGGCTACTATTACATCTCTCAGACCAGAAGTAGAAGTCTGAGTAAGCAAGCAACGAAGGAGTCAATGGCTCCCAATCTCTAAGTAAGACGGACGCTGGCAAGTGAAACACAGCGTGGACACAAAACTAATGGTCTTTGCCAGACCTATTCTGCCTCCACGGGGCCCAAGGAGATGTGAAAGATCTTTAGTTTGAAGTTCGAAGTGATCGCATTACCTTTGGCGAATTTGATAGTGACAAATATTTCGTGATAGCATCAAGATTCCCAATCACATGAGGAGTCCACTGCAAAAGCATTTTTTATTTGCACAAAACTAGAAACTTGAAAATTAACCTAATACGGGGAAGCATGTCAGGACAGAATATGAAAAAAAAACCCATGTTTAAGCTGCCTTTTAGTACAACTGACCACAGAATATTCAGGTGATAAAATTATGACACAGGTGCTTAAATAATCCTGTACTCGGTTTGCAAAGAGGAAGAAGGCACAAAAGGTCAAAGCAGAATGCTTTTATTCAGCTTTCACAGTTCTAAACAGTAAACATCATTAACAATTCACCCATGGTACGGGAGAACATAGTCCTGGTATCAGTAAAATGTCTACTGTTTAAGGCACTGATAGTGGGAAGAAAAAAGAAAAGACATTACATGGATTGCTCTTATTTGATCAGAATTTGCATCTACTATGAATATGTGCTTGCTATTCAAATGCTTAAAATTCCACAAGCTACATTCACAAACAAATGTTTATACAACTTCAGTAATTACTGAAACAGGAATCAGTGGCTCCCCTACTTCGACTTAAGAGCAAGTATTGCATTACTTTGGAGTGGAATCAATTTTTAACTTACTCAAAGAAAACAAAACACAAATTACTTCAGCAGTATGGCTTTAAGACCCTGTATTTGGTTACAATATAGCAAGCAAAGTTAAATAACAGCATACAAGTGCCATATACTGTTATCTCAAAAGGAGGAGTTTTACGGTATAAAAATTAGTTTAGAACATACTAAAGCCAGTTTTTGTACAAACATTTTTACAAAACTGAATTACTCAAAGAAAAAAAAAATCAAGAACATTTTAAATATGAATCACTCTTTACAAGTTGTATGCATAAAATTACTTATCTTGATGATATAAATTAGGAATAGTACAAACTTCTTAAAGCTGGCATCCGTATACTATTGAAATGCACACATCAGAAGTACTGAAGTGTTAGTTCTGCAAAAATCCTTAAGAGCCACATTTATACTTGCCAAACAGAGACATGGTGACTTAGGTTTCTAGAGGAGCCACAGTGACCTCCCGTGGCCACTTAAGAAATCCCTGTCCTTAACCTTTTTTTCGATTTTGAACATGACATTCCTCACAAGTGCTAATAAACTTAAAAGGTACAAGAGTGGTTCACGCTTGGCCCTTCCATCCCAGGAAATTACAATATTTCTGTTTGAAATATTTATAGGAACACAGCCTTTCCACAACCCAGCTCCTGGTCACAGAAACAAAGTCACGTCTCCTCTCTGATTTCTCAAGAACCTGTTCCAGAACAGTTTAGAGCACTGTTTTCTGTAGGTCAGTGAGAGATGATGTTCAATAAATGTTCAACACATGTTCAATATTAGGCTCTCAAATATACCACTTCAGCTTTTCAGAGAACAAAGGAAGGAAATATAAATGATGGTGTCTGACTCAAAGTCCAAACCAGAACACAAAGTTGTATGAGACATCTTAAATGTGTTTCAAATTCATTGGTATGCAAAGCCCGAAAACATTTTAGAAAAAAAACTAAGTGTAACAAAGAATCCAAAAGTCAATCAGGTGTCTTCTTCCATTGCTCTGAAGGAACTAGCAGGAACAAAACATTTGTCTTCTTTGTCATGAACACATGAAAAACGTGAGAAAAACACAAAAATCACAGTAGTGACTCTCTCTCATCTGCAGTACATTAATCAACACTGATATTCTTCTACTGCTTATAAATCCTCTCTGTTATACCCAACTTTCTTTCCATTAAGCGACTCGTCTGTGTTTGGTGCCAGCCATGTGAAATACACCTTCACTGGATCAATATTCCAATGCTTGTGAAATGATACTGGAATTTGGTGAGAAAGGTAGCCTTTTGGGTAGTCCATTGGCCGTGCCTAAGATGGAAGAATAAACCAAAACCACCAGTACTCAGTAATGAAAAATAATTTCAGAACAAGAAAGGATCACCAATCAACAGCCTCCATATCATAACAAAGCAATGTGGCACTGACAAAATATGCAAAATGATAACAAAGGGGTGGTTTTTTTTACATTATTCTAGATTTAGATCTTAAACTCACACTGCAGTCATCACGCTATGAAGTACACTGATATTAAATATGCCCTATTTCTCAGGATGAAAAGGTCACCATCTATGAAAGCAAATGTTAAACAGTGTAGTTTGTATTGCACCTTTTTAAATACACCACTTTGGTTCAACAATAACAAAATGATTATAAGTAATATTCCCTTGCTCCTCCTCTTAATGACAGTTGCCAGCACTGCCAGTGGGATTACAGGACCCTAATAAGGCCATAAGCAACCAAAATATATGAAGTTTTATCATGGGGAAAGGTTACCAAAAGTAGGAAATATTGTGGTGCCTGAAAACTGCACTGTTATTCTTTGTCAGGTGATATCAAAAGAGACAGAATTACAACACAGCTACATGATGCATCTGACTTCTTAAGGCACCGAGCATGTTCCATTTCCTCTGACGGTTTAATGGCATGTAAGTGCATCATTATATAAAAATCCCCCACCTGTAGTTGGCCCTAGTAAAATAACTAGATTTTGCCATTGTAAATAGAGTTTTTGTAAAAAGAAATGCATGAAAGGCAAACATTTGTTTTTTTTCTAGATGTAAGACACAGGGGGAAAAAAAATGAGCGATTTGGATGCTGAATGACTGATTTGATGCCTGAGCTAGTAACTGATTTAATACTGTACACTTCCCCTACTTATGGTGGTATTAATGAATTCTACCTGCTGCATTCCTCATGCAGTTCCGTATACACATCAGTCATAAAATTAGGCAACAGAATTTGACATTAAGAGATCTAGATATGTGTTGCTGTACGTAGTTTTTTTATTTTGATATTAAAACCAGAGTGTTTATTTTTAAAAATTCCACTGGATAAATCAAAAGGGAGCCTATCTCCTTCAAGACTTGTGAAAAAAACCCAACTTTAATGAACATTTAGGTTTCAAAAAATTGAAGAATTTACTTTGGATAGAAACAGTTTTTAGATATCTGAGACCAAAGATTTTTGCTGTTTGAAAATCAATCAGCTTTTCATTAAACTATAGGCAAAATTTTGGTGTTTTGAGAATTCAAAAAGCATGAGATCTGCTCTCATAGCTACAGTTTTTATTACATTGCTCTCTAAGAATCATACTGCTTTATAGGTGGTTGATGTTAAGATACATATTCCCTGAATTTCTTCTTTCTTACATTTTGCAGAATCAATTATTGTAAACTTTGCTGCTTTTTGTGCGCTAGAATTTGTATTTGGTTTTCTAGAAAAGCCAAATATGTTGCTTTTGCCCAGATTTTATATTTTAAGACGACAATCTTGACTGCTACTCAATGTGGGAAGGTTCCTGTTCTCTTTTTAGAGTCTTATCATGTCAAAAGCCTCTGGGACAGTTTACAGAACACATATCTACCTTAGCATGTAGCAAACAGAAAACCAGTAAGAATGAGCAAATAGTTATATCATAGTCAGTTTGCTTCTGTTTCATAATGTATACTTAGCACAATTTTGGGTTCATGTATTTCAAGGAACATTGTACATCACAATATTTCAATCAAGTCTTTAAAAAATAGTTTTCTGGTTGACAGAAAATAAAATTTTTGGTTTTCTCATTTTTAAAATATTTGTTGCATAATAGTGGTATCGTAGAATAAGCAGACTTATTTTTTATTCATCAGTCTTCCCCCCCAGGGTTAATTTTTGTTCAAGGTATGTTAAATTAGAATTTGTCATAAGCAACAGTAAAGATGAATTACAGTTCAAGTGTAATTTTCTGTGTGGAAAATCAAACTGCTGGGATTTCACTTGCAAAGTGATTCAGTAGCAAATGCACAGCATTAAGGAGTACAAGGAAGTGCTTTGTTTTGTTGTATAAGGGTTGTTCTTACAAATCTGTAAAATGAGTTCTGTTCTTTCCGGCTCTCCTTTAATTAGGAGAGGTTTTTTAACACAAACTACTCAATAACCGTTGATTTTATAAGACACATTACTTGCTTTCGTTCATACTTACACTGAAAGGAGCAAGCAATGATAAAAAACAGGAAAGTAAACAGATAGGATTTTTTTATATGGACAAAGAATTAAAATATTGAATAGCGCATTCTCAGTCTTCCCATTTCTCTAAATAGTAATCCTAATATAGGAAAAAAATGATAATTTAAATAGTAAACTTCCCCCCATTACTGACAGCCACTTTGAATTACATGGCAATTTACTGATTTTCAAGTAGTCGATTATCTTAATCTCAGTTCATATTCAGATACACAGGTTTTCCCAGTTTTAAAACTAGATTAACACCTGAAAAACACTGAACACTACACCAATTTAAATGCTGATTTAAAAAAAAAAAAAAAAAGCACTGTTTAGGAAAATTTATAAATGCTTCTTTTCTTTAATGCCATGGGAGGAAACTAACATGTTTATTTGGTTTACAAGGCAGCAAATCTCTCTGGGACTCAATGCATCGTGTTTTCCACTGTGACAATACAGTTAGATTGCTAAATATTCTGGAAAACAGAAACAAGATTCAAATCTATTCCAACCCACTTCTCCCAAACTGGAGAGTATATTCACAAGAAAGTTATGTCTTGTGCCCTCTTTCCCCCTTGTGCTAGCAGAGGGCAATTTATCATACTTAAACCATTCTTCAGAATCCACCACAAAAGCAAAAGTTGTAGGAATACTTTTACATTTTATATCTTCACTAACGAGGTATTTCAGAATCGTAAACACGAAATCAACAGAAAAATCGGGTAAGTAGAAAAGACAAATTTACTGAAAAATGTCACAGTCAGTACTCCATTACCTGAAGAAAAAAGTATTGTGGTGTGGGGTTTTTTTTTTTCTTTTCTTAGAGGACAAATCACAAGTACTCAAAGCATGTGGCTCCTAATTCTATTCGTTTTTCAATTTGTAAAATGCATTTTTTATAAAATATAGTTATAGGATAACTGAAATGTCTTATAAACTACTAAAGCATTGTAGTAATCCATGTTTTGAGAATATTCTTATTTGCCTGATCAAACGTGTTCGGGAGAGAAATAAGGTATAGCAGCAGCGTCTTGGTTACAGTTATTACACATTGATCGGGTTTCCAATATTTATGAATTTGCAGTATTTCTGAGTTCTGCTTTATGTGTACACTTAAAAGAATAAAATATATTTTAAATACTAGTAAAAATAACTCTCTGACCTGATGGAAAAGTGGACTATGCGTTATAGGGATTCCTAAGCCACTGAAACACATCCCAAGGACCATATCATCAGGTGCGTCCATGCTGTAACACCGGCATTTACTAGCAAGTAGTTTCTGAACAGCTATTTTGCTGAAAACCATCCTGGAATAAAAAAAAAAACAAAACCAAATGAAACATACAAGACGATAACTACTAGAGAAGCCAAATGACCACAATTAATAAATATTGCTAAATGGTATAAAACTGCAAGACAAAAATGTAGCCCTCTGGTACAAGGTATCTGAAATTTCAAAATTTGAGAGGTCACTACCGACAATTAGTTTAAGAGGCATTTTCTGGAAGATAATTGCTTTATAATGAAAATTAATTATACCAATCTGTTATTCCAACAATTACTTAGCTAGCCACCATTTTTGCTGCAGCTAATTCCTCCTAAATTTGCCCAGAACTTTAAAGGGTTATTCTCCTCTGTCTTACTCACATGTATTATCCAGTTAGTTATTATGTAGCAATTAAATGAAAAGAACTCTCAACCTGAGAGGATTCCTTGAATCCTGCGTTATACAGAGTCCTCTCCATAGTGAAAAATGTTCCCCGAAGCCATTGCAAGGCTCTTCCGTTCATCTTAACTTTCTTGCTCATCTAAACACCAACCACAGCCTGGAGCTGTTAGATCATTATCACTAAAATAAGCCTTCAATAGACCAGAAACAGGATGCTGTCTTTAATTCAACAGCTGAGAGAATATACTATTGCCTATTATTCCATAGCTGCCTTTTCTGAAGTTATATCATCCACCAAGTCTGATCAAAATATAGGGTAGTCTAGCTACTACAAGTTATACTAACAAGATTCACGCTCTAAAATTGCTACACGGCTTCATGAGTTCATTCGCTATATGACAAACCTCTGCTTGACACCGCGGCATAGCAAAACTTCCACAGATACTGAATGCTAAGGCAAAAAGACTAACCTGAGAATATTGTCAGAACAAAGTTGTAAAATACCCCATTGCTATCGTTGAAACTTTGAAGACTGCACGTATCATAAAAAGAAGAAAAAGAGGAGAGCACAATAGGAATCAATATCTCAGTACTCAGCTCAAATAGAGAAGGAATAATAGGCTAGAGCCTCGGGGGGGGAAGGGGGGAAGTAAAGAAAAAAAAAAAAGAGTTGAGACTTGTGACCAGCATATGTTGCCACACAAAAGGTGTGATGTAAATTGCATACATTTGGGGAATATAGTTGCTAGTTGATTCTCTGGAATGTGTCCCTTCAGCTATATAGAATTCTTCACTTATAATGAACCTTCTCAAAATTATGGTATGGAACAAAATGGATGATCACAGGGACCCCCAAGTCTTTTGCACGAGAACAACCCACAACAATCTCTTTCTGTGAGAAACTATTTTCCAGGACACAGACATCAAACTCCTTGCTCAGCCACCTCTCCATAAATCATCGCATGAAGTTCAAAAACAGAAGGAGAATCATGAACATTTTTATCAGTACTTGGACACAGAAAGAGAACAGGAAGGAACATTTTCATTGTGACAATTTGTATCACTAGGTGCGCTGCTTTGGGTTCTCCTGCAAACTCCACAACAGTTCAGATCACAAGTGTATTTTTTTTAAGCAACTATCCCAACTGTCTCTGCTTACTACACTCGGATTCACATTGTCAGATGGTCTCTGAGTATGCAGAATGAATTGTATCAGATGAAACATGGCTGCATGACACGCACCAAGAAACATGTGGCGCAGATAACTGGTAATAGGCATTCAGTCAAGCCAAAATGACTCCCTGAAATATGCATGGTCCTCAGCACCAACTGCTTTGCTCTACAAATCTGTTCCCAAGAGGCTGCACAACTACTTATTAGTTAGGACATTTAGGTCTTTGAGCATCATTATATCGTAATCGTACTAGGAAACATCACTGTTTCTGTTGAAACTGCCTTGTGTTGTAACTCAAAACATTTGCATTCAAAGCATGGGCTGATGTAGATGTCAGTAGGAGTTTAAATAAATTACCCTCCTCCGCCAGTGATATAACTATATCCTCCTGTTCCCAAGCCGTAACCGTAACGCTCTCCAAGAAATACTGGTTCATTTGGGTCATAGCAGCTGAGTAATTTTCGGAGTCTGAAAATACTATAATGTGAAAATCCATTTTAAAAAAAAATAAATTATGTAGACATTAATTTTAAAACAGACATTGCTAGCCTAAATGGCATTCTAGTAAACAGCACAAAAATAATAAGAGCAATTCAGACATTCTACAAAAAACAGAGATACAAACTTTTAAACACAAATTTATGATGCATTATTTACTATGAGATATGATTACTGAATTTGGTCAAATGATAAATCAATTAGCTTAAAGTATTTTTCTGAAGAAGCAGGCAAAATTTCTCAGCAAAACTGTGTCTTCATCTCAGAGAAAACATGAAATTATTATCCAAACAATGGTAGGATCTTTGCAAATGACATTTTCTCCCCAGGAAATGAAAACAAAAAAGGTAGATTTAGTTACACAAATATCGGTTTACCTAGAATTATAGCCTCTTCCAGATTCTTCTTCTGTCACGTTATTTAATGAGAAGTATTGCCTTAAACCACTTATTCTCTCATGACCATGGGATCCTGCTAGTTGATTACTGTGCCTTGTTTTGCTTATACTGCAGTGTCAGTTTTCATGCGCATGGGATCTAATTTTCGGACAAAGGCAAGTCCCTGGACACCATTCTGAGTGGTTCTGACAACTGACCCTAGCTTACAGAACCTTTCTTCTGGCACATTTATGCAAGGAATACGTCCTAGAAAGTGTATTAGCAAATGACTAAAACCAATCATCTCAAACTCCAGTGAAGAATCCCAATCAGTAATCATATTCAGACTACACGATTACATAATAACACTAATATGCATAGTTTTTATCAAGTTACAAGATGACATTGTTTTTAATATCAGAATGCTGAAGGAAAGTGACAATTTTTTTCCTTAAAGGGAAATAAAGCTACATGACTAATAAAACAGCTGTATCTCTTAAAAGAAGAAGAGATGAATATTGCTAAAACTCTATCAGCATGAAGAGTAGTAACCCCTGAAGTATTGCAATGCTTACCTTATCAGTGTGTCATCATCCACTATGACTAACCAAGGAGTTCTGGGAGAGCTATGATTCAAAAACCTTTCCAAAATGGCAAAAGTTTTCCCACAGTGACCTAAAGGAGAAGAAATAACAGAATACGTACGTTTAAATAAAACGGCATTTTGTAATAAACAATTATTCATGAATTAAATAAATATTTTACTGCACTATGCACAACATTTTGGAAATGACTGGCAACATATTTGACATGCAAGTTTAAATTACATCCTTCATTGTGCTGAATGGTATTTGTACGAATTGTTCAAACAATTCCTTTCTCTGTGGGAACATACCTTTGAAGATGCTAAAATATGGAAATTCTTTGAATTATGAGGACCTGAAAAATAAGCTATAATCCAACTATCATGTTAAACTGTTGGACAACACCAGGCAAACTGCTACCCTTAATTTCCAAAACCATAAAATGAGGAGACTATGATAGAAACATGTTCTGCAAAACACACCAATATATTTTAATAGTATTTCATGACACATCAGGCAGGTCCATTGCTTTTATATAAATATTTAAGTCTACCATACTCATCAGCAGCAGCTCAGGTGCTGATAGCTTCCTCCAAGGAAAGGTCTTAACATTTATCACAAGACTATAATGAAGTTGAGAGGTAAAACACCCTTTACTAGGAGTTGAGAAGTGAAACACCCTTGTTCAGAATGAGCAGGACAAGAGAAACAAGAATGTTCAGACTTACACTGAATCTTTTTTTAGATCTCAGAAAAGTCTAATTGCAAACAGTCTTTATCCATATAGGGTACAGTTGACTATCTAAAGCAATTACCGCTATCAATATTACAATTACAGAACAAGCATTAAAAAATAAGGATAGGATTTTGAAGCTACTTCCAGTTAATTTTTTTTTTTTTGAGAAAATGCAGTAACTCTGCTTAAGAAATGAATGAAGTCCTGGCTTTGCTGATTTTGTGAAACCATGAACTTAATGCAGACTGATGTATGAGTATTTACAAAATTAAAATCAAGATTTCTGTATTACAGTCCATCACAAAAAATGGACAAAAACAGTGTTAGAGCAAACTCAGCAAAATTTGTTTAGTTTAGAATGCCACAGCAGTAGAATGCCACTGCTCCCCAAAGCAATGCTCAAAGGCCAAATGTGGAAGGTCCCTTCCCCCTGGTGTGACTAGAACTACTGGGCACAGCTTCTACAGATGATCCACACATGTCCAGCAGGTCTGGTGCATCCTGTAAACAATCACTAATTGCTCATGTCACACTGCACCTATGCAAATGGAAATCTCTGCCTATTGTCTCTCTGCCTCTAATAAGATGCTCTAGACGACAAAAAAACAGGGCAGCTAGAAATAAGCCAGAGATCAGCAAAGCATTTGACACCGTCCCACACAACACCCTTGTCTCTAAATTGGAGACATAGATTTGACAGATGGATCACTTGGCAGATAATGAATTGACTGGATGGCCGCACTTAAAGACTTGCGGTCAACGGCTCCATGTCCAAGTGATAACCAGTGACAAGTGCTGTTCCTCAGGGGTCCATACTGGGGCAGGCAGTGTTTAACATCTTTGTCGGTGACACAGATATTGGGATGGAGACAACACCAAGCTGCATGGTGTAGTCGACATGCTGGAGGGAAGGGGTGCCATCCAGACGGACTTGGACAGGGACCCGGTGGGCCTGTGCAAACCTCATGGAATTCAACAAGGCCAAGTGCAAGGTCCTACACCTCAGTTGCAGCAATCCCAAGCACAGATACAGGCTGGGCGGAGAATGGGTTGGGAGCAGCCCTAAGGAGAAGGACTTGGGGGTGTTGGTTGATGAGAAGCTCAACATGACCCAGCAATGTGCGCTTGCAGCCCAGAAAGTGAACCGCATCCTGGGCTGCATCAAAAGAAGTGTGGCCAGCAGGTCAAGGGTGGGGATTCTACCCATCTACTCCGCTCTGGTGAAACCCTACCTGAAGTACCGTGTCCAGCTCTGGAGCCCCCAACATAAGAGGACATGGACCTGTTGGAGCAGGTCCAGAGGAGGGCCATGAATATAATCAAAGGCTGGAGCACCTCTCCTATTAGGACAGGCTGAGACAGTTGGGGTTGTTCAGCCTGGAGAAGAGAAGGCTCCGGGGAGACCTTATTGCAGCATTTCAGTACATAAAAGGATCTACAGGAAAGATGGGCAGGGACTCTTCATCGTGGCATGTAGTGATAGGATGAGGGGTAATGGTTTCAAACTGAAAGAGGGTAGATTTAGATTAGATATTAGGAAGAAATTCTTTACTGTGGGGGTGGTGAGGCACTGGAACAGGTTGCCCAGAGAAGTTGTGGATGCCCCATTCCTGAAGGTGTTCAAGGCCAGGTTGGATGGGGCTTTGAGTAACCTGTTCTAGTGGAAAGTGTCCCTGCCTATGGAGGCGGGGGCTGGAAATAGATGATCTTTACGGTCTCTTCCAGCTCTAACCATTCTGTGATTCTATGATCAGAACAACCGACCTAGTGGGCCAGAAAAAGCTAATAGGCTATAGCTTGGACACCTCTAGTTCAGAAGGTAATAGCATGTAGCAGAAACTATAAGCCTAAGAACAACAGATCACATGAAAGAAAAAACCCTAAAATTAATAAACTCATGAAAGCAATCATATCCATAGACTTTTTTCTATTCAAACACAATATCAATTACTTTAAAACCACATTATTTCTCACTAACATATTTTCCAATCTTAACATTTAGTTTTTGTGCTTAAATCAAAACATACTAGGCAGAAGCACATAATATTTGAATACCATATGGCAGATAGCGTATGCTCAGTAACCAGCAGGCACTGTTTGAGGTCTTTTGACATAAAGCTATGACTTCTGCTACTATTGACAATCTTGCCTCAAGAATTATTACTCCTACTCAGAGTAATAACGCCAATTTTTGTCTCTTGGAGTATATCAGTGTATTATGCTTTCGTACTCACAGTATTTAGGTTCCTGCTAAAAAGAACATTCTACCTACACAGGCGAACTGTACTGTTCATCCACTTCCTATGTGGCAAAAGCATTCTTTTAGTTTAGGCTGCACAAACGTGCTACAGAAATACAAAAGTTCTAAACGATATACTATACATGAAATATACATATCGTCCATAAAACTTACCATCTTCAGACAGTTACTTGCACAAAACTGACAACAAGAGTCAATAGCTCACCTCTGTCAGTATTAGGTATGCCTAAATCTATCGTAGGAATGGAGATGTCTGCATAATCACTGTAGTATTCAATAAGGGCAGCTTCTCTTTCCCAAGTCTTCTTTACAACTGGTACTGCAAAACAATCGTTGACATTGAAACCTAAGTAACTTGTTTAAAATAAGTACCTGATCAAAACATTTATGCACCTTGTTAAGTGACATATCCCTTTACATGGGAAAGAAAATGCTGTTTCAAATATAGCATCATAGTTCTAAAGGTTCATTCTTTTTTCTTTCCTACAATATTTAGAGAGAAACAATTCACATTTTTATGAAAGCCAGTCAGGGCAGTTTTATTTATATAGTATTTTTTTTTTTTTAAATATGACTACAGTTTCATTTATATTACATTGAAAACTGTGATGTTTACATTTATGCTAACCAAAGTATGGAATTCATTACTTTCACACTTGCTATGGTAGACTTTACAGCACACATCAGCATGAACGCTATCAGAGATCAATCATTCTTCCAGTATTGAAACCATCACATTTTAAAAACAGCACATCCAACTGTATAGCAGGTAAAATATTCTGAGTCAGAAACAGACCAAATGCACCTTTCGAAATACTACACTGTGTTATATACATCATATCTGATAGCAACGTGATGCTAATGCTCAAAAACACTGTCTCTGTAGGCACACTAACAGAAGGACATTTATAAATATCATCCAATCAATTTTTATCCCATGGAGATTCTTTTCAAAGGAGGACTGCTTAATGCTTCTCAACAAGAGCAATCCTTTTCTTATTAGTTTTCCATTTGACATAAACATTTAAAATTGATCATAAAAAATTCTAATAATTGTGCTATAAATGTTTAAATTATATTCAGAAGTGAGTAAATTATGGGTAACACAAAAGAAGCTGAGCACCTGCAAAATGTTTGGAAGAGAATGATCAGGTTGAAATCAATGATTTATTTTTTCTTCCATTTTAAAAATTAAATGGTCAGGACTTAGATTGACAACTACTCTTAAACATTGTGCACTCTGCATTGTGCATCACTGTTTGTCTGCTCTATGTTCTTTGACACCATCCAGTAGGTCTCATTAGTAGTAGCTAGTTGTTTAAAAGGAGGAAGTTATTTTTGTAATTTCCCATTGTTGCTATAACTCCGATGCTTGTGAACAACTCATTTTAGCCCCTTGCTGGGATCACCCATCGCCTAATTTGATATTTGTTGCCTACCTACTTGCTCACTTTCCTCCACTCTGATCACACAGAGACGTGTAAGATTTATTATTCTTGATTGACCAATAGTCAGTTTGGTAAGACTAAAATGAATTGAAAAGTGACTGTTAGGATACAGTAATAAGAACTCAGTGCACTAATGGAAAGGCTTTAATATTTAGAAAAAATATAATTCCACTTCTGTAGCATTGTGCAATGGATGATACTGCTTTTGAAAGTTTTAGACACTTAAAACTGCTCTCAAATTTTTGCATTAGAAAATCCAAAGGGAATAATTTACAAAAGATATGTTCATACAACATGCCAGTGGAGTTTAAAATGCAAAGCCATGAATTTCACAATACATTAACTCTACTTCCTATGTACTAAAAAGTCATATTACATCATAAAACAAATGCATAATCATGCATTAATTGACAGAGAATGCCATATAAACTCCCCTCCCCCCCCCCCATTTACAATAAAAACCTCCAAGAAGCCAGGAAATTATTTTCTATTTTTGTAGAAATGTTCTATTTCAAACATGTTTCTCAGAAGAATAAAATCAGAAGCTTTCAGAAAGGCCCCAATATAGAAACGTCACAGATAAACAAAATACTTCCAACCTTCACCTGGCAGAAGAGACACACCTGTAAAGGCTGTTTCACCTTTCTCCAGCCAAGGACCTCAACCTCAGTAGGGTGCTTTAACATACACAACTGTTTCCTATTACAGATTGAGCCTCTCAATTTCTTCATTAGAGTCTCACTTTTTTGTGTAAATAAAAAAAGCTCACTGAAGCAACGACCTGAGTCTCACCTCGCTTAAGTGATCTAGGGGGCTACTAGCTAAAGTGTATTTCTCTTTTCCTTGCTTGTTTTGATGGAAGAGTCACCATCCAGACTAATGCCTATTGTAAACTGAATCCCACAATACTTCGTAATTTCTAAAAAATCTTATGTTCCAAAGAAACAACAACTATTTGAGATTTCTGACTAGCTGTTGATGCAAATACTTATCAATATATATTAATAGTTGTGATCACACTGAAGTTTCAATACTGTAGTAAAGAGATACTTATAGAAGGTCAGCTTTAAGTTCTTAATTCTATTTTATTTGTGCTACTTCTAGACCCTTGATGCATGTTTGCAGTCTTGAACTTTTCTTATACAACCATATATGGTATGTGTAAGAAGGAAAGTTGTATCTGAAGTAAATGCTAAAGTAAAATTTAGCTGCTTTTGCACATCAAATTCCAATCCTCAATGTTGCACTAGTGTAGTTTTTGTCATACAATAAAAAATGACTTACCAGGTAAAAGGAGCTCTCTGAAGCTGGCATCCATTAATCTTTCAAAATCTTGAGTAAGATTATCCTCTATTGCACAACACTGGAAGCTGTGAGGAAAGTTCAAGAATTTTCCTCAGTCTTCAACAGGTGTTTCTTGAAGGATGTTTACACTATTTTTTTGAAGCCTTAAGTTCGTTCTTTTCTGACTTCCTAGGTTTAAGGGTTTTTTTTTGTTTTAATTTTGATATAAGAAAATAAACATGGATCCAGAAAGAAGAACTCTTCAGTGAACTCCAATTACAGGACAGTCAATTTTGTTTTGTCAAAAACTACTTTAAAGATATCCTAATGGTTAGGTGATCAAAATACTAGAAATATGCCTTCATTAAGTGCAGCAACATTACAAAAAAATTTCCGTAAGTCATATTTTGAAGAAAAAAAAAAAAAGCAACTGGCATATAGTTTAAATTTAGAAGTGACAGAACCCACAGTTTTGGATGCATTAGCAAAGGGGAACTTAGTTAAGAAAAGAGTTTTTATCTTTATCCTGCAGTATTCAAGGGCACACAAAATTCAAGTAAATTCCTGGAAATAAATCCATTCTGGAATTTCCTTATAAACAAAATGCCTTGTAGTAAACTAGAATGGACTGGTAGGTGACATCAAGTTGGCAGAGCGCCTTCTGTTAAATCAGTGGATTTGGATCTTTTTCCTTCCAAGTTTTGTAGACATTGGACCTACCTCAACTTCGATGAGCATTACTGTGTATTAGCTGAAGCTGAATGTCTCTCTGTATCTTTGTTTTCTGTGCCTCTGAGAAGGAAGTTAATATTCACTGAACATATCTTGTTGGGCTGTGCTACGTTTTTTTCAGTTGTTTTTATCATGGATATCATGGTCATATTTTCACGGTGACTATGATTACTTGTATAACACTACAATTTCCAGATGAAACGTGCTACAGTGTTGCATACTTGGGAGACTCTTGATACGGCCCATGTCTCAGACAAGTACTACAGATGACCATGTTTCTACAAGGGACAGAATTTCCTATTCCAAGCATTATAAAGTGCCTATGCACATGCATAGGGTTACAATAGATAGAAGCAATACGACAGCGTAAGCTGTTCAATCTTTTACTGGAGGCAAGGGCAGGACAAAATGAAGGAGGAGGGAAAAGAGCTTTCAGCTCCTTCAATTTTCTAAATCAGCCACCATACAGCTACACAATTGTCACTGCCAGGACAAGGAATAGAACTGTACCAATTATCTGGGGGAAACACGCTGAAGGATACTAATAGCTGCTACAGCTCCAATTTGCAATAATATAAGCTAACTTTATGTACATTTTTAATTTTTTATTTAGGTATTCCATTTCAAGAATTGTGCCAATCACCAACGATGACACGTCAAACAACCACAACTTTTAGTTTTACACATTTTGCAGCACTCCTGAAGAACTCTGAATAGCAAATTCTACCTAAAGAATGAGCTGTTGACAGTTCTGAAGCTTTCATGTTTCCCAGTGGATTTTGCAAACATATAGTCCCAAAGAGCTACAGAGAGAGCACATATCAGCTTGTTTTTTAAATAATAATTTCATAATTATTCTACATTGCATAGAACTACTCCCTTGACAAACCAACAACTTACTTCTGTCTCCATGAAATTTCTGACATGTTTTTACAGCAACAAAGACATCTTCCTTTTTCACTGGCTCTCCCTATATAAACAGAACAAAAAAGAATTTTGTAATTGCAGGCTCTGCCTGTAACATTTTATAGGATATGTATGTCCACACATACAATAAAACAGAAAATACCTTTTCATTGTATAGCGTATCAAGTAGAATAGTGTACCAATAATATAGTAGAAAGTACATTTTTGTCTCTTGAAAAAAAGGTCACTAGTGGTTTAATATTCCTGAAAAAATATTACTGAAATACTTTTTCCGTTTCCATTTTCCATTCTAACATGAACTAAAACAAAAAGCATTAGGAAAAGAGAATGAATAGTAGAACCTGTTGAACTAAGAATGATTCATCTGAAAAAGAATGTTTTCTTAATTTATTTGAAATTAATCACTATGAGAACATGTTGAACTATATCATACTTGGAAAAAGAAGCTTAAATTCTACACAGCAGAAATCTTCGCATTTTCTCAACCGTATTAAAATCATTTAACCTTTTTGATTTCTTATCGTTTTTGGCACCTAGAATTTTGCTGCCCTGAAAGCATGGAACACTTTTTGGCCTCTAGCAACAGTTAACCCATAATATCATGAATGCATTCTCCTAGAGGTGGGTGAGATGGGTTGTACTTTAATGCACCAAATGCTATGTTACATATTATCTTTAGCCTCAACAAGTTTTAGATTCCCATCTGTGAAAAAAAGATTACCTATACTTCCGTATCTCGCAGAAATGTAAGGAGAAATACTTTATAGATGATGGGCTGCTCAAACATTGTGGTAGAAAGACGCATTAAAGCATACGCAATATTTGTTTGCCAGGAAATATTCTGTGCCACAGAAGGCTGAAACTGTATCCAAAAATAGATAAATGCCAGAACAAACTTTTTCTTTTTTAACTTATTGAAAAATATTTACTGAAGGTTTGAGATTTTTAAAGTAAAGTATTAATGCATTTTAGTTTTACCTTTACTAAGCAAATGGCTTTTAAAATATGGTACTTACACAAAGCGGCAGAAAATTACTGAATGTTGTTGCACAATGATCAACGTTATACGAGTTCACATCATCTGTGCAGAACTCAGGCACTGGAGTAAGATGTGGTCCTTCTCCTTTCTGCCAAATATACAGGGCAATCTATCAAAACAGAAAACATTTATATCAGTAATGAAACCGGATAAAAATTCTCTGGGCATACAAAGAAATCATATTACACGACAAATTTTATAGGAAAACTGAAAAATACGGGATGCTGTAGAGGATTTGTTCCTTAGTTGATGAACTAGCTGCATACCTTACTTCTTACTCACTTTTCTAGAGCCAACATGTAACTTTTTGCTATGAAAGAAATTCTATAGAGAGACAAGTTTTAAAATTTGTTTCACAGAATCACAGTTAGTTTCATATACTTAAGCATGTCAAAAGAACTCATCTTTAACTTTTACAAGAAGTGGCAGAGTGAATATTTACACCTTCTTTTAAAGGAAACAAAAATCCTTATTGGTTTGCTCTTTTTAAATTATTTTGATAATTTGGAATAGCTAGGCCTGTTTCAGCCTATGTGGCAATTTTCAGCTTTTCAGAATAGACCCATTCTCTGGTGACAATTTAAAATGCTCAGAATCAGCAATGAAACTCTGAGAAGCTGTAAAATACAATGAAGGATAATGTAATAGATATGCTATCCTATAGTAGTCTTGTCCATTTTAAATACAGCAACAAAAAACCAAAAAGCCAACCAAAATTTACAGAGAAAAAGGAAGGAGCAAACGAGTGATGTCTGAAGAAGATAAACCCACCCCTTTGTATTTACATTCAATTCATAATGAAAATAATATTTCAATTTGTACTTCACAACACATCAAGAGCGCTTAGACTTGCCCAACATTTCTATTGCAATACTTTACTAAGTATTGCAGACTTTTTTTTTTTGCCAGACTAAGTATTCAGGCAGGAAATTTATATGCTGAATGCCTTCCTCATACCATTTAAAACATTAACTTCTTTTCATATAAAACTGTTCAGAAACTTGTGAGAACAAAATGAAATTCTTAGAAACCTAAAAGGCAGAAAATATTATCTCAGTGAGTATGTGGATCCAGAGCTTCCCAGCTGCACTGCCATACACTCCTGATTCTGAACGCTTAGTCTTTCTTGATAGGCCAAAGATGTGAATCTTCACAAAGATGTGAAGATGCTCTCTTGGACAAGAGCTGTTTAAGCATACGCTCAAGATGTAGGAGGTCTGGGTTCTAGGTTTGCTTCTGCCTAACTCAGACAGAAGTTACAGCTTCTAGTTTTCAAAAGGGTGCCTACACTAACAAACCATAGATATTTCTGGGACAAAGACTCTCCATTCTATCTCATGAAACTGGGTTACTGTGTAAAAGTAAGATTCACAGAACCAACAAGATAGAGTAGCAAAGGGGAACCTGATTCTACTGCTCAGGGTGAATGGCACTCCTCCAGGGGAGGAAAATCGGTCCTGGGTTCTAGTTCCCGTTTCCCATGTCGTTTACACATATTCCCATTGACTCTTGCATGGAAAAACAAGTTAAGTCCCTCACTGGAATATGGGACCAGAGCCAGCACACACCAAAGGCAATGAAAATGGGTCTCTTTTTGGCTGCTTTACATCTACTTAGGAACTGTTAGCTTTAAATCCCTTCAGGGCCAGAATTCAGCTCCTCTTTTAGCAAATAACGTGATCATTAAGCTATTATTAAGAGGGTATAGTATTTCCTTCTCCCTAGTGTTCAGGAAGAACTCAGCGCAAACCAAGAGCATTAAGGATGGTCTGGACAAGCCCAAGTCACCAAACCAGTTACAGACTTCTAAGTTCATAGAATCATAGAACGGTTTAGGTTGGAAAGGACCTTAAAGATCATCGAGTTCTACCTCCCTGCCATGGGCAGGGACACCTCTGACTAGACCAGGCTGCCCAAGGCCACGTCCAGCCTGGTCTTGAACACCTCCAATAGATGATTATTTTCCTGTCCATCTCATTTAGGTGCCAACATCTTTAGAAAATCCCAACTACCTGCACACAGCCATCTCTGGAACTTAGAGGGAATAAAATAGAAATGCCAGTTTGTTACAGGCCCCATTAGGACTGGGGGCAGGCTTGAGAATACAGTATTTTTCAAACTTAAGCTTCCAGATTTTAAAGATTTTCGATAGGGTACAGTCACATACTAGAACACAACTAACTGATGACTTTTAAGCAAATTGTTGATTTTAACTGGGCTGTCATAACTACACATGTGGTTTTAGACCACCTGAACTGCAAAATAAAAACATTTAGTTTGATTGCACTGAAAAGAGTTTTAATTACTGTATTTTTCCTTGTAATTGACCAGACGGAGACGACAGGGAGCTGTGAGTACAAACATGGTCATTACGACTGCTCAGCTGATAGTGACTCGCTATACCACTGTAACCCAGCTGCGGGTTCTTTCAATACAACAGGTTTTGTAGTTTGCAAGTTCTAATTTGCAAGTTCTTAGCCTCACCGTTATGAGGTGGTCTGTTTATTTGCTGTTTTAGCAATGCTTCTGAAAACACAGATGATCTTAGCATTACAGATGAGTTCAACAAAGTACTGAAGGGAAAGACCACTCTATAAGGAAGAAAATGCGTAAGCGTGAGCGGCAGTTAAGACAAATACTGTTGATAGTCCTTGGAGTAGAGGAGAAGTATGGAAATGACATGTAACACATACTCATGGTAAGGAGCAGCCAATAAACACACATACATCTCCAAGGTTATCTCCTTGCCTTGTCACAATGTTCATATTATGGGATCTAAGTGGTTCTTGACCCTGCCTTGTAGCTGGAAGACTACATAACAGCAAGGGGTGGGATTTCTAACAAGCTTCCAGTACATTTTAAGATTGTATTAGTTCAGAACCCAGCTGTTCAGAATTAATGTCTGTCGCATGAAACAACAAAGAAGAAATGCTCTTGCAGCCCAAAGAATATTTAACAATCGTAACTTAACATGAAATATTTATGAAAGTTCATAATGTGTGAAGATTTTCCACTGAATAATGAAATCTTCAATAGAAAGCCTTAGAATGGTGTGAAGCTATTGTATTTCAGAAGTGAGGGTAGAGTGCCGTTTTGGGTTATAGAACAGGATGACAGACTGTTCTGAAAACAGTGGAAAAGGATTTACAATAAAAAGACAAAAAATATTCTTAGTCTTAGCCCTAGTTCAGATCTAATGTTAGATACACAAAAAATCCATTACTCACTTCCAGTTTTGAATAAGCATCAGGCAATATGCTATAAACCGTGCAGTTGCAAAAAGTCTAAAAAACACTCTACAAATGAGCAGCAGCATGATGAAAATCCTTTACCATACTTGCAAGATAGGCCTTCCAGATGGAAAGTGATATAAATATTATGGATATAAGAAATAGGGACTTGGAAAGTAGTAGGGTGAAGAAAACCTGATACAGAGCACAATAAAATACCAAAGACTAGAGACACATGTTATTATGACCCTGTCAAACTAAAACATTTCTTAAAACCTTTATCATCCTTCATAAATTTAAACATTACACACAATCATTAAAGATCACAGATTATATCCTTTGATTTGTTGTCAATCTTGATTCACACAAGAAGGACATAGAGATAAAAATGATTTAAGAAGGAGAAGATAGTGATTTATAAAATAAATGAGGGGGAATGGAACTGTCTCTAGGGAAACACAAGACTGTGCAGAAAGAATAACTACAGGGCTGAAGTAGGTTATCAATGGCAATAAATCTGAAATGAAACATATGCAAAGAACTGCTAACAGAATAAGAAGGGCATGGAAGTAATTTTGCCAGTCGAGTGATCAATTGTTTTTCATTAAGCAATCTGTGGCACATAAAAGAAACGTCTGCTAATGATTTTTTTTTTTTTTAATGACACTGTTTTTAGAGGCTTTGTCAGTGCTGAGGTAGACTGGAATATTGGGAACATATGAATGATTTTGAGATAACTTAAAAAAAAGAAGATTAACAGTGTGAAGCCCAAGGCCTTACATTTAGAAAAATTAACAAGAGGAAAGAAACAGCTTGTTGGCTTGTTTCATGTAGCAAAATGAAACCTGGGAGGGGTGCAATTGCTTTTGAGAAATACATCAGTCAGGGAGGGGAAACTATGTCAAAGAATAGTGTTGGCACAAGACCAAATTCATTTAAATACGCTACCAATTTATACTGTATAAATACACTGTAGATTTATCTTGGAAATGAGGAGGTTTATAACCATTACAGAACAAAGATCTGGAACAGCAGCAGTAGTTTTAAGTAAGGTGTGGGTAGTTTTATTTTGTTTTGTTTTTTTTTCTGGGCCAGAACCACAATTTATAGCTGACTTTCAGGAGTTTTAAAAAATTAAAACGAGTTCGACATCACTCATAATTTCAGGCCAAAATCAGCAAGCGTATTCCAGATTCATCCTCCCCTTCTACCCTGGTTCAGGAGTTCATTTTGGTGACAGTACAAAACCCTGGGATGCACAAACATTTTGAACGTAGAAAAAATTAAAGAGCTACAGAAAAAGCAGCACTGATATTCCTTCAGATCCCCCCACTCCTTTCTTCTCATGTTCCTTTTGAGTCCACTCGCTTATTGCCCAAAAGACCTAGTGGCTAGCTTTTAAAACTGTTGCAAACCAGAGGCAAAAAAAATTCTCAACTTCCATGCTACCAGTTGCAGAGTTGGTTGTTCACACAACAGTTAGGTTCCTCAGACTATTTAATCCAAACTCCCATCATAATTAGCCCTTAGAGTCTGATTTAGAAAGTGATTGAAGCTGGCTGCTATCTGAGATACTATTCATGTTAGCTTATGCTTCATGAATTGGAAGTGTCTCTCCTCCTTTTTAGAGCAAGCCTTAGAAGATACCTTAATGTATACAACCATTCCTATATGAATGCAATTTTATTCATGAATTCCTCTATGCTTGAAATATATTGTTAAAGTACTACAATATTCTAAAGGGACAGAAATTAAACATGCCATTGCTGTCAAACTTTTTAGCAATGTCTACGAGAAATCTGTTATTTCCATTATCGTTTATCACCATTCACATATACAGATTTGAGACATTTTTTTCCATCACATCACTGCTTACCTCATGCTTTAAATCTATTGTAAAGTCTGACTTGAGTGGTTCACTTTTCAACTTCTTTGCAAGCCTATACAATAAAATATGAAGAAATTTACTCAAAACCCCCCATATTTTTAAAAAAATCAGTCACTCGTGTATGTAGCAAAGTGTGGCTGGTACTATCGACCATCTTATAAATGGGGGGAAAAAAAAAAAATCACATTTCTGTATTTATTGCCTCAAGAAGCAACTTACATTTCTTTTTCATATTTTTTTCATCTGAGCACAATGTGATGATGTCAATATTAATTTTCAGCACACAAATTTTGATACATTATTCCTGCCCAAGAAGAAAGTTCTCACGTGGAGTAGATGGAGAGTATGGCATAACATTTTCAGCAGATTAAAAGCAGCAGTGCATTTGAAGCTCAATATTGATCAGCATCTCAAACTACAGACAATATTCTCTTTTTGTGTATTCCAAAGCACAGTATTTCGGCACCTTCAATTTATGAAAACATCAATCCTTGCTACAGCAAGATGCATTCAACTTCTGAAATCTATGAACTTTCCAAATCTCATTTAAAAACTAAGCATCTAATCTGAAATAAATATCTAGGTTGTCTCTATAGCATGAGAAACACTTCTAGAGGGCAATGCAGTCACTCTAAGATCCAGGAATAAAACTGCTTTCTGGGGGAGAATACATTTTTAAAATGACAAGAGATGGTATTGAACTAGTTGAACAACTAGTACTGGACAACTATTAACTAGCTGACATGACATTAACTTTTAGATTGGCAGAATGAAGCAAAATAAATCACATGCACAGTAATGATACAGAAATAGATTTCTGTACCCTTGTCTACTAATGATTTCTTAAGTGTTTATTTATAATAATTATGGTTGGTATGTGTAGAATAAAGAAGAAAAGGAATTTTATCACGGAAGTATTTTCTGGGTAAGTTTATAGTGGGAGTGTAAGTCTATGTAGGCATACTCAGAGCTAGTTGTACATTACTGTCCCTGGTTGAGTGTCTTGCTATCCTCAAATTTACATGTATCAGTATGGATGCTGATAATACAGGTGGCAGCAGCAAAAGCTCAGCGGAGGCTCTGAAGTCAAATCCACGGGAGGCCAGCCTGCACTGGCTGAGTACATCCCAAACTGTCTGCCATAGCCAAGCTGCAATCAACAGCTTCAATTCAAAGACAGCTCAAAATTAAAATTTTACTTTGCATATTGTCATGATCTGCAAATGTACCGCAGGAACAGCTTCACCTTTTGTAGTAATCCATACGAAATCATAACTCATTAAAGTAATATTGATTAGCATCTAGAAAAATTGTACAAATTAAGCATTCTTAATTACTATCAACAAACAAGAAGTGATTAAAAATTCAATTCTTACTTTTTAACAAGTGGAATGCTAAGTGCCCAACCAGCAGCAAAATCTGGAAATTTAAAGACTGTAGGATTTTCAGCAAAGGCATAATGGTGAATTATTGTAGATTCTTCATCATATAATGCTTTACCTAAAAACCACTCCTGTAAAGGAATATAGGAAACAATTTTGTTCATCTACAGCATCCTTTTAGTGAAGATGATGACTGCATTCATCCTGAATAAAGTAAACCTGAAAACAAAAACAAGGGAAGCGTATTGTTCACAATGATCCAAACAAAAACTGTACTTGGTACGAAATGAAACTAAAGACAGTTCTCAGAATTCAAATACATGCTGTATTTTCAAACTGCAGCTTATACCCTGGATTCCACCTCTTCAAAGAGCACTGAATCCCAAAATCATAGAAGGGCTGAGGCTGGAAGGAGCATCTTGAGATCGTTTAGTCCAATGCCCCTGCTCAAGCAGGGTCAGCCACAGCATGATGCTCAGGACTCTGTCCAGTCATGTTTTGAACACACTCCACAAGCTCTCTGCGCAACCTGTTCCAGTGTTTTACTCCCCAAACCGGTTACTGACTAGACAAGACACTCAAAAGCATCACATTCAGGAATTTTGTATATATCCATTTTGAATTTCCATCTGTCTAGTCTCTTTTATACTAGGGAACTTGAAAAGCAAATACATTTTAAATACCTTGATCTTCAAAACAGTTAAATGAAGATGGTCCCAAGTATGCATTTGTATAGTAAATATTAAGTACTAGTATTATTATTAGACTTTTCATAGCAGTGTTTAAGAATTTACTGCTGACTGTACTGTATCTGAAAATAATTAACTGACTTAAATACTGCTTCTTTAACATTACTGTCAGTTGTCTTAAACCTTCTGTTTAGAATTAATATAAAATAAGTATACCCCCAAATTTTAGCAAAATAAGGACTCTAATGAACGGAAAAAAGAATATATGTGTATATATATAATTTTATGTATATGCATATGTATAAACTGCTTTTCAGGCCTACAAGTACAAATGATGAATCAGAATTCTGAATCACCTTAATGGTTATATTAAAGCTTTAAAGTGTGAAGTTCTTTGCATTATGACAGTAACTCAGGCTTTTCTTTTTCCTGACAATTTACAAGTTCATCACTAAAATAAGTTCAAAATTAGGGCAACTGTTTTTTTCACAAAAGATTCTCTTTCTCCACACTCCCTGACATATTTGATTTTTCCCCTCCTTTAAAGGGGCAGCTATCAGCAACAATGAAAAATTCCTCCAAGGCATGAGCACAGTTCATACATTTCACATGAGGTAAATAAATAATTTACGCAAAACTCAAGAAAAAAGGGAAAATATTCAAGCAAAAGTACTGTAGAAACATCCAGCCAGAAACCCTCAGTCTAACCCCAAGAGGATCTTGCTTCTCAGTAGCCACCTTTCTAACTCAAACCAGATGTTGCTATATAGACTGAGCTAAATTTTATAGCTCCCCAGAGTTGATGAGGAGGCATGAGTGAGATTTGGCCAGGATATGGAAGTCAGCAAACAGCAGAAGAGAGGTCTGCACGCACCAGGAGACACCTCCAGGCAAAACCAAGTGGCTGAGCCTGGCAGGAGCATGCAAGTGTGGCTGCCCCAGAGGACATTCAGCCTGGCAACCCCTCGGCTTCCAGCCAGGACTCAACCTGGCTGCCCAGAAGGCAATAAAAGGGCAGCCCCGTACAGCTACCAGGGATGCTTTTCTTGCCACACACACTGAGTCAAAGCTATGGGGTGCTGCCTGCTTCAAGAACTCTACCTCTGCAAGGATGGCCAGGACCCATACAAGCAACCATGAGTCAAAGATACAGGATGCCACTCCTCCCAGGAACCCCGACCATCTGAGGGACTGATGCCAGCGTAACACGGTATGCATGTTCAGATATACATGTGCGAGGCACTGAGTGCGTTTCTCATGAATTCTGCACACTTCTCCCCTCTACTTTGATCAGCTACTCTCAATAAAACTAAATTGAATATATCTTGTACTCCACTAGTGACTTTTTCAGGTAACACAAATGCTGAAAATTTGTTTGCTCCCTTAATCCCCGTGTGCTTCCTGAGGCGGAGACGTGCTCAGGAATCTGTTGAGGAAACAGCCAAAGTCAAACTGACGCTACCCAATACTTGGAGAAGGTAAGGGTGGAGATTTTTTCCCACCATTTTTTTAACCACCTTCACAGCAGTTGCTACATGGTGCCTACTTACTCAGCCTCTGATTTATACCTTCAATCACAACAGACCCTGTTTTCTCCTTGGAAGGAGATTCAATATTGGATCCTTGGAAGGATTCAGCAGTGTTCACTGTGAGGATTAAAAAACAAACAGAATATTGGGAGGTAAAAGAAAACGGGCAAACACACTAATTTTTATGCACAAAGATGACTGCCTTGAAAGAATCAAAATAATTCTTTAGAAGCACTTGTGCACACTGTTCTTTAACTCTCTTAGGCCTCCAAGGCTTCAAAATGTACGTAACACAAGCACACTATTCTGTTTCAGAAAGAGTTGATAAATAGTAATGTTTTAATATGACAGTACCATCTGCAGACAATTTTTTTCTGGACCTCCAGTTTGTTACGCTACAGACTGAAAATAAATCTTTATTTATCCTAATTTCGCATGCTAATTTTTACAACAAACCAATCTATAGATTAAAAAAAAAAAACCCAAACCAACCTTACTTTCTTTTCTCTATAAAACATAAAAAATTAAACCCATACATATACCCTCCTCAGACTTTCACATAATATTGTTTCTGGCAATATTAAGCCACAAGTCACAGTGAAGGCATTCCAGGTTACAGCCAATACTCTCTGAGCTTATTTAGTCATAACATTATTTACTTCACTGATATGTAGGACAAGTCAATCTGTGCAGGACTGTAAAAGTCTTGTAACTAATTTAAAAGATTATAAGTTCCTATGCATAGAATTAATTTAAAGTAACTTAAGGAATGATTGTAAGCAAATTGCATATAGGCAAAAACATGATTCATTGCATTATGGATAACTACCATCCACAGGATCAGTTAATACATTGTGCATCAGAAATGGCAAAAAATCACCTACCTTTAGTAAGAGCACTTCATAGTCTTTAGAACACTTTAATATCTGAAGAAATGTGATGCAACCAAATTCAATATCAGACCTCGGGGAGGGCAGAGGAGACTTTACCTGACTTGCTAATCAAGTTGATTCTACCCACTCACTCTTGTATCCACTCACAAATCCCACGACAAGTGCACCCAGTTCATCTGTTCAAAACTCGTGTCTGACACAACGGACAGGAGATTTCAGCTGTCACATCCCCACTGTGTCTCACTACCTCTTATGAATTCTTATGATCCTCAAAGACAAACTGTTCTTTAGACAGAACTTTTATACCCTTTATGTATCAACAGCTACTAAGTCATTGCTGCCCATCAGCTTGGTTTACTCATTCTGGATATCTTTGGGGCTGCCACTCAATATTACATTCATATCAATCTCAATAGTTCTGTTACTAATCGCTATATATCCAGATTGAAAAGCTGCAGATTCATCAACTATTCACATGCCCCTTGTAGACCTTTTATTGTGATTAATATATACCAGCTTTTTATTATGCAGACTGCTGACATTTTAAAATTAATAATGAATGAGCTCATTCTGGTCTAACTCCTCTTAAATTTTGTAGCTGATGGACTACTACTTTATATAAGGAATCAATTATGGACTGTTACACTAAGATGACAATTACTATGTACAAAAGCAAAACATTTTCTTTTCCTTTTAATGCAGGTTGGAACATAGTTTGTTATTCTATTAGTATTTACATGCAATGCAAAGGAGAGATTAAAACTGGCATAAAGGCAGCATCTAGAACAAAATTTTTATGTTTCTATTCTGAGAACATCAATTAGGAGTGTTTCTGAAACAAATAAATGGATATTCCAAAGGTCTAAATATATTCAGCTGGTAATTTTGAAGACAGAGTGATTAAAAATGTAAGATCTCTGAATTATTTTTAATACCATTGTAGGAAAGAATTGTGAGAAAACATGACAAGGCCATGTGCCTGCAAAAGAAGTGAATATGCTAAAGTGAGACCTGAAGAAGAGTTCACTACTCAGTCAAGGTAACAATAAAGAGGCAAAACATATTTTGCACAGGAGATTTTTGGCTTCTTTTATCCCAGGCAAAGGATGGACATCAAGCTGATTTTTTTTTCCTGAACATTGAGAATCCTAAACATTAACAGCTTTTGTGTCAGCTGCATAGCCAAATTTACTTTGTTCCTTGGTGACTGCATTTTTCTTTTGTTCTGCAAGTCTTTTGGTGGTGTTTCTTTTCCAGCAGGTAAAGAAAACTGTCTTATTAGCAAGACAGTTCAGAGACAGAATGCAAATAAAATACCCTACTATATTAGATCAGAGACAGTTAGTCAAACTAACATCAGTTATTCTGTCTGATGATAATTAGAACTGATGACAGACAGGAAAATGGGGAGAGGGGACCACAGAGCAAACTATATTCATCTTTTTACTGATGCTACATCGTTTCCAGGCTACCCACAGAAGGAATCTTTTCTCCACTCAATTTTAACAGTTCTTCAACAGCTAGACAGGTGCTCGTACACTGCTTCATGTTAAATACCTTGCTCATTCTCAGCCTCAGAAACAGAAATTTATCCCCTTTATTTTAAGCTGTTTGGATACATCTTTTCCAATGTTTGGAGTTATGAACCCTCCAGGTAGTGTTATAAAATTAAATTCTGGACCACATTAACTGTTCCATAACTAGGAATCCAAATCACGTATTTATAATTGTTTACTTGAAATGATTACGTTTCATCTAAAAACCTATTCAAGCACATTCAAAAGAAAGTTAAATATCTAAATTTTTATTTCACCTTAGACCCGTCAAATCTTCCAAGTGTTTCTAGCAGCTTTACAACTTGTATTCTTGTATCTTCTTCACAGAAGAAAATCCATGAGGAGTTCCTACCATAGGTAACAGAGAAGCTAACAAAAGAAATTAATGTTTTACTAACAAACTGGCTTATGAACAGAACAATCGATTCAACCCACATTCCCCAAATATAAGTACTTTGCAATCAATTACTCATGTATACAGAAACAGAAACTTTTACTACCAACTTAGAATTACATATCAAAAGACGACAGTGAATGGATAAAGAAAATTGCCTCAGCTGCTATCTATTTATATAGCACCTGTTATTCCAGAAAGAAGGGAATTGAATACAGATACATAAAGAATGTCCACTCATATATGAATAGGTACTACAGGTATAACCACCTATGAATTCAGAAGTTTATAGATAGCAGTTTAAATTACCTTCCCCTCTGTACCTTAACTTTCTTCCAAGAAGCCCCACTGTTGGGCACCTAACACCATTGCAACAATCGTGAAAGCGCCTAATAACAGGTTTTCTCACAGCTGTTTGACATTGATCATAATCATCATCCACAGCCTAAAAACTTCATTAGCTTTTTCAGTACAGTGAAACTACACAGATAGAAGGGACTCCCCTTCCTCAAAGCTAACACTAATCTCAATGCAGGATTCCTGACTCCTTCAGAAAATTCTCATTCCTTATTTCTCTACTTCTCCCAGCTTAATTCTTTCACTACTTAACAAAACAAAGCCTTATTAATTCATGACAACCTAATGGAAAAAAAGTCCAATCTTTACTTGTCCATGTTCCTTTGCATAGCTTTTACGTTGATTTAATCGAAGAAATAATCTGAGGAGAGGGACAAGAAAATTAGCACCTATAAACATGACAGATTTCTTCCTCTAGAGCGTTGTCTACTGATAAGATAAGCAATGAAAATAAACAGCAGAAATGTGAGTCATCAAAAATAAGTAAAAAAGGGCAACAGGATCATTTCTGATTTAGGGAACAGTATTTGGCTAAAAAAAAACAAAAACCACCAAACCCCAAACCAACCTAAAACGCAAACCCACTATCTGAGAAATACTTACGCTAGAACATGTGACACCTCCATCTGCAGGTCTTTAAATTACATGCTAGAAGCACTAGATGGTTGCCAGGTGCTAAACTAGTTCTGTCTTTTTTCATCTGGGACAAGCTATCTTCCCATAAAGCTAACTTTCCTCTGTGTCTTGCAATCATATTTGATTATTCACTGCTTTGTGCTTATGATACTTAACCTGCTAAACTATAATACCCAGAAGAGCTCACAATTTATTCATCCTTTTAGTTCATAAAAGCATATACTTGTTGCCTACACAACACTGAAATCTGCGCAACTCTTTGCCATTCAGGCAAACAAACAGGATACAATCAGCTGGGAAAGACACTTCCCAGCTGCTCCATCTAAAACTTGCCAAACAAGTACAGAAAGGATATCAGATACCCTCATGTTTTTAAATATGTAGAGTATTCAATGCCCCGTGAAGACTGAAGGCTTTTCTCTCGCATTTAGTGCTCAGCTAGAACTTCAGGAGAGAATATTTGGATTTACACAAAAGCAGGTGGGTGAGGGGCAAGGAGAAAAACACTGGAATGACCCATACAAAAAGAATTACTGCATCTTGTGAATATAGCACATACCAATTCACAAAAGGAATGATCTGTTCATCTAGCTACTGATGGACAAACAATGATTTTGAAGGCTAAGTATTTCACGCTTGCCGAGGGTCCTATAGCACACAAATCTGGAGTTCAGATTGCAAGAAGCCACTGGAGACACTCAGGTAAGATCCAGTTTCAGGGCAATAATTTTAAAAAGGGACTTCTTCCCTGCTTAATGAATGTGGTTACCAAGAAGAAATGCAGTGTGCCTTCTGGAGACAGTAAGGGTACTGTGTCATGAGACTTCCATTGATGTCTTATGATTACACCTTCTGAAATGAAGTATTTTGTCCAAGTTAACCTGTGCTCAAGAACTAATAACTAAGAATTGTCATAACTCTTTAGAGGCCTACTTAAAAACAGTGACACCCACAGAAGTGAGGGAAGCCATTATTCTGAAAGCAGTTTTCAGGTAAGAATGCATCTTCTATCAATTCCTAGCATCATCAGCTGCTGCAGAATGCGCTGATCCCTTAGTCTCCCTTCCTCCTCTTCTGTTGATTGAAAAAACTACAACGTACAAGCCTCGCATCATCTACATGCTTCTAAACTACTCCATGTCTTCATTCTGCTAAGTGATAAGTGAAATAGTAGACACAGGGAGCTTCTTATTTCAGAATTCTCTTCAAGATGGAAATCCTCTACTTAAGATTCTTCTTCTGATTTCTGAGAATTTTCTTCTGCTTTATCGCACAAACTATCATTTGTATTTTTGCTTCTGAGTTTGCTCTTGTAAAAGCTGTATCTGTAAACCCTGTCACCAAGACATAAATAATTCAGAAGAGGAACCACAAGGTCATTGAAACAGGAGCTAAGAAGGAAAACCAAAGATGACTGATATTTGGAACATCATCTTCCAGTTTTTCAATTTACTTTAATTCTCCTTTTACTTCTTCTCACAGTTTACATATATCTCAAAGACAGCTATCATACAAGCACTCTTTTCATGTTTCTACACATCCAGAAAGCAATAGAAAGCAGAAGAGAAAAAAGCATCCTGCCCTGTAATCAGTCTGATGCAAAAACAACAAGCCAAAACAAAAACACCCTTCTGAGTAACTCTAATAAATTATATTAACTAAATTAAAACTCAAGAGGTTGCAGAGCCTCTGGCATCAGTTTCAAACGCAAAGGCAAAGGATAGCCTTCAGTACGATGGAGCTTTAGGACTTTTTGAAACAGGAATCATTGCTTCCTAACAGTTTGCAACATACTACTGGGTATAAGCAGCATGTTGTCCTTGGGGCCATCTGCACAAGATAAGAAGAAAGACATTTGAGAGTATCTCTCTTCTCTGACCATACTAAGATGAAAACTGGCCATACAAGCTTCTAAAAAGATGTCAAAACATACCTTTTTTCACTGTAGAGGCCTGCCACCTGTTAGAAACTATAAGCAATAAAAGACAGGAACCTCAAAAAAGTATTATTATCTATTTTAAAAAATTATTTATCCAATTCATTTAGCCAAGTAATCTGAAAGATTAAAAGTTCTGAAATACTTCACACCTTACACTATGAGAAGTGGGGACCAAATAGGAAAATACGCATTTTAAAATGGTATTTCTTTTGACCAGTTTAGTTCCTTAATAATTTTAAAACCCATAACAATTTGAAGAAGGTAGTTGCTCAGTTACATAATATTATTGTCGTTCTTTTATTTAAAATCACTTTCTCTGATTTAATGAAATTTAACAGAAAATTGCTTCAGAAAAATAAAAAAGAAGAGTAAGAAAGTGAAAAGATAAGGTTGCAAGTCTCATTCAAAAGCTTTGCTTCTGAAAAAAGAGGTTTGAGTAATTAATATTTATAAGTTTGTTTGCAAAAAATTCTGAAAATAACTGGCATTCATTACACTTACTCTCTCATTAATGGTAATATTGTCCATGCACCTTCATGCCCATCCAGCTGATGAATAAGCAGAACCGTAGGTAATTCCTTTAAAAAAAAATAAAAATATTCCCATTAAACTTGAATTATATGCACCTTTTTCCCTAAACGCCAACTAATCTTAAAAAAATTACTCTGGAATGGCTACTTAGCTCTTCATTGTTTTTTACTGGCAAGTAGCCCTGCAGAATAGATGACTTAAGATAGTATGAAACAAGGTGACCTGTGTATGGAAAGTGCTTCTTCCAACTGAAAATTTTTAATTCTATATTAGATACAAAGCTAACACACTTCAAGTGAAATGTTTTGTATAGGTCCCATGTAATCATTTAAGCAATATATCATACTAATTTCCTTACCATATCATAAAATCCCATACTGTAAAGAAAGACTTATAAATAATGTAGGGAATTACACAAAGGCTTCTATAGACAATCATGTTACACAGTGCTTATGTGAGAGTTATAATACTCTTTGAGTTCAACTTTGACCTGTCACACTAACATCGTAACAAAATCCCATAGGTTTACACAAAAATCAAAATGAGGAGTTAGCATTTTTTCGTACTGAAAAAAAAAAAATCAAAGGAAATCCAATAATGTAATTGGAGAAAACCAAACACTCTGACCCAGCTCCCCCCAGCCTGGCTTCTCCCCATCAGCCTGTCCAGACATGACACCCACGAGCTCAAGAGAAAGGAGAGGCTCTCTGCTCTCCTTACAGTCTGACAGGGGCTTACTGTATGGGATGCACTACTGGATTCAGGGGAAGAACATTTGGGGATGGCACAAAACTTATTATGAGATGCTTAGGGGAAGAGGAAAGGCCAGGAAAAGAGGGATCAGGGTGATCTGAGGAGGAACAACCATTTATAAATTCAGAGGAAAAAAGGGGTTGGTCACTTGAAACAGATCGCTGTTCAGAACGCTTGTCTGGCCATGCCCTGCACTGATCACTGCAGTCTGTCCTGTCTTTTTAAATTCCATTCCTAACTTGTGGGCAGAAGGCTCTGTATGTATTTGAAGGTCTGAGTGCCTGCACCTAAAGAGGGGACCACAAGTCACAGGGGTGCACAAGTCTGTGCTGCCAGAAACTGGGGAGAGAAGGGTGCATGCACGTTGTGTGTGGGTGTCAGGGTGTGAACTGCTCACAGGCATCAAGCTGGACTAAGAGTAGAAGAAGCTTGGGAACCAGATATCAGAGCAGCCACAAGTCTGGGGCAGACACTGGAGAGACCAAAGGGCCTGACAGTTAGTTACTGGAGGAACCAGGAGGTCCCAGCTACTGGAGAACCTCTGGGGTGCAAGGGTCAGATACTGGTAGGGTATAAGTCTGCACCAGCTACCAGAAAGACCCATTTGCATGCACGTGCCTGTGCGTGAGGTAACAGGGAGGCCAGATGGTCTTCAGGTCAACTGCCGGATACACTGAGTGTCGGAAGCTACTGGGAGGATCCATAGTGCGTGCATGTGTGCATGCAGGAGCAGGGCTGAGCACGAGCAACTGGGATGGAGCTGTGAGCCAGACAGCAAGCCTCACATGCTGGCAACTGCAGAGGCTGCAAATGCGACGGCCACTGACTGCATAGACTCAATGTCAAAGACCAGCTACTGGAAGCATCCATATTGTAGGTGTGTATATTTATGTATACACATTCTACAAACAGGCTTTTATCCTGATCAGCCAGAGAGGTGAAACATGGCCAGGGCACTGGTGCAGTCTGTGCGAGAGCTGTGGTTTCCGTCTGCGTTGATCTACGTGGGCGACCAGGTATGTATGTACATGTATTGTGTGTATGCGTGCACACCCGCCCATTGGGAACACTAGCTCAGCCTGGCTACTGGCTGGACCAGGGGACAGGGAGCCGCAGCAGCCTCGCCTCCGTCAGGCTAGCAGATTTGGCAGCTCCTAAGACAAACCATGTTGACTTCTCAAGGGCCTAATTCCTTTCCACTTACACCATGCATATGCCAAACATTTTTGTTTGATGAATGTGTCTCATGAATATAAGCCAATGCCATTAACATAAAATTTACATTTAAACACAAAAATAATTTATTCTCTAAGAAAAGGTGTAAGATAAAGTTCAGACTGCTCGTTGCCTCTGTCAAGTTTACTTTAAACCCTTTTTAAGGGCAGTTAAGCATAGCACTTAGAAATACATAAAACCTCCAAACTTCATACACTAAAGAAAACATCTCTACCATTCTAAAGAATAACTGTGTCTCTCAGGAGTGTGTTAACCCTATCAAAAAATAACTGTTGTTTTGAAAAATATTTATGCTATTGTGAATGACACAAATTGAAAAGAAACAATGCCAAAACTCTGATTTGGATATTCACCTGCATCTAAAACATCAGTGGTTCTAATTTATGGTTCTAGTTCAAGCCAATCTATAAAATATGTTTCTGGTTAGTTTCAATTTATTGCAAAACCAAACTAGTCTCGAGGTTTTTAGCAGAAGCAGCAAATCTTAGCAACAGTAAGATCAACATCTGTTATTTCACTAAAATGTAACCACTTCATGGTAAAACCATAAAAATATATTTGCTTATGGGATTGCAGATAGGAATATAAAACAGCAAACCTCTGTTTTTACAAGAACATTTGTTTTTATAAGCATACAAACCCTGCAGTTATGCTAGTATTTGTATGTGACCATGTATGTCATGGAACAGGAGCCAGACAGATATAAAAGTAATTAATAATACTATATTAAGTGTCTATATCACCCTAAAGGCTGAAGTTAATGTTCATTTTAGATACAAACATTTTCCCATGCAAAAGGTATGACGTAAATTACATAATCTAAGCAGCTGTACCATATACTCAGGTACTTCCTCTTTAACAAAAAAAAAACCCCAAACCCAACTCTTTTCTTTGTGCAGATCAAAGGAATGATGATAAAGAAAAAGTACTCTTTTTTGAGCTAATCCTATACTTTTGCAAGGTATCTTTTCTTTCTGACATTCTTATAAGCCTGCTCTCTTTCTCTACCCAACCTCCTCTAAAACATGAAAATACCTATCCTGCATATACCTTTCCTTCCACCCATCTCTAACAATGCATCAATTCTGATTTAATAAACGAGATGCTTAAAAAACACTGTGCAGGTAAAATAGCCTCTTCCGAAAAAAATACAGGAGGATCTCTGTTATTTTTCCTTTCTCATTTTAGGTACTTTCACTCTGAACACAGTGGAACTGTGCTGACCTATTAATTTTATTTATTCTACGTTCAGTACACAGACAGAAAAAAGGCACAAAGTACCCGCTGTCAGCTTTGGGGAGTGAAAGGGCACATGCAGGCTATCTCACTGGGGAATGGCTAGATAATCAAGGTAGTGATAAGTAACTTACTTACACACCACATCTGTGTGTCTCATAAAACTCTCCTACAAATGCATCCATACCTTGTACTGTATTCACTGGTTATTTTATCTCGAAACTATTGTTTCCAAAGTTACAGAGCCCATATGCTGTCACACACGCTAACACTTTACATATGGCACAAATCAAATTTAACCTAAATAAAATAATTTAATGACTTTTGAAGACGAAGAAACTACCTTCCCTACTTTCACAACTGAGCTGACTTTAAAAGGGCAAAACCAAAAAATGGAATCACTTGTGGTCTGAAATGTGGTACAAGACATTTTTATCTCAAACACCACCTACTGTATCAGCACAGTGAGAGCAGTAATACCTGCCACAGATTAAAATTGCAAAGTCTACACAAACCAAAAAAAAAAGTGTGAATAAAGGGGTTAGATCCACATCTTCAAACCAATTCAAAAGACATTGACACAGCCTCGTATGTACCTTTAAATCATTTATTATTCTTTATGCAAGTTGAAGTACAAAGATGATAGTGACACACTCATTTTCACAGCAAATCATCAACAGAACTGAAATCAAACTCTGGTTCTTGAATCTAAACATTAAAAGTCCTCTTCATTAACATGGGAAAAACCTTGGGGGAATAGCATATCCAATAAGGAAAAATATCATTCAGAATAAAAGAATTCTTAAGAAATAATGAAGAGAATTGCTAACCTGAAACAAATATCTGAAATCTTTCTGTACTACGTGCAATTTCATATTAATCTACCAAAACCTATATGAGAAATGTACAATTTATAGACAACAAAACAGTATGGTGTTAAAACAAAGAAACGGGCTAAGATTTCACAGACTACAAGGCCAAAATGGACCTCTGTAAGCACCCAGGATGGCAGAGGTCATCCCCAGCTAAAATGGGATTTCCAGAGCCACAGCTAGTTCACATCCTCTAAGACCCCCTAGCAGACCTGCCTTTGCTTTGTTTTCCTGCAGAACGGAGTCCACTGAATTTCATCTAAGCATAACTAAATCTTGCCCTAAGTGTATGGTTTAGTGAGAACATGCTTTTTAGAACATAATTCAAACTGGATATTGCTCATCACTATTTATTATCTGCCCTTTGTGACATAATACTGCAAGTACTACATATAAACAGATACAGAACTGTGGTGAAATCCAAGACATAACAGTAGTATGTTTATTATTATATTACTGAGTCACCTGACCAGAGCAATTAACAAACTTATAACACATTATAGAAAAATACAGTAGTGTATAGGAATCTGCTCTTAATGAGTCCAGTATACTGGTAGGTGCGGGTGCCTTGCATATCTGTGGTTTGTAAGTTTATTAAACTGCCTCATGAAACCCAGATCTGAGGGGCAGGACAGGGGATCCTAAACCCTAGGCATTGTTGTTGAATCGCACAGTTCCAGAATTAGAAATGGTTTCGTAATTTTTGCTCTACGTGCTCCATGAGCACTTAACAACATTTTCCCTACTTTCTTATCTTCTTTTCAGAAATTAATCCTAAAACACATTCAGAGATAGCCTATCTACCCTCTTCTTAGCCCTCCCTTGGGAAGTTAAATAACCCAAGCTCTTCCAGTCATCCGTTATAGAATCACAGAACAGTTTGCATTGGAAGGGACCTTTAAGGGTCACCTAGTCCACCCCCCCCGCAGTGAGCAGGGACATCTTCAACT